TTCTCCAGGATTTCCCTAGCAGAAGGGGCATCAGGGCACATCCTCTGTTTCGTTCTTATGAATTGTTGATTTCTCTCTTCCTTCGCCCCTGGTGTATTCATTGCCTCCAAGTCCCTCAGTGGAAAAGAACTTTTTCCCTCTTGGCAATACACTGCCTCATTCATAGTGCAAAATCGGGCTGACCGTTGCACTATGGTCGGTTAGACATCCGAAATGAATACAACAAATGTTTTATGAATGGGGAGACAACTCAGAATGTTTGTGACTTCTGAAGAGCACTTCTTTATGAATCTGTGATGTAGGAAGAAGTCTCCACAAAACGAAACTTCTATTCCGGAGATTTTCGTCCATCATCTGTTAGACACAATATTTAGGAAATAAATGTTACTGTATTTTTGGAATTTTGTATACATTTAGGACAAGTTATCATTATTATTACAATTGTTACTTGCACTATTGCAGTAGTTTTGTTCAGTTTTGCACTTCCAGCCATGTGTTCCACACCATTTTTGCCTCTAAAGCGGGAGTGTCAAACTCATTTGTTATGAGGGCTGGATCTGACATAAATGAGACCTTGTCAGGCAGGGCCACGAGTGTCATCAAATGTAATGCCAGGTAGCGGATGTATAAACTTTATAAAGGACACAAACACAAAGGGTTTTTTTTTTGCTTAAACTAAAAATATGCTTAAAACAGCGCTGTAAGCTGCAAACCTACTTTTGATTTATTGACATTCGCCACAGAAATCTCATGCTCAGAGTTCTGAGTCTAGGACCCGGGTTAAAACATGAAATGGCTGAGTGATTAAGAGAGTCTGGCAAAGCAAGCGATGATGCAGCAGCAGCAGCAGAACTGGAAGCAGGAGATGGCCAGTTCCACTGCGGGCCGGATGGAAGCCCTGGGGGGGGGGGGGGGCGGAGGGGGCCCCCGGGCCACATGTTTGACACCCTGCTCTAAAATGTTATTTCTTTGCCACGGCACCAACAGCCAGGAGCACAGGTTTTAGTTCTCCTTTGTCTAATATCCGTCCCATGTTTTCAGCTTGAAGCTGGTTGGGATCAACCTGATCAGATGTCTTGCTTGACCCCTCAACCAGAGTTTCCAGTTTTGAATTTGGTATGGATTTTTGTGGGCCGCTGCTGCATTTCTGCAATGTGAACCATGTCCCACTTTACGTGATGCATGAAGAAAAGTAACACGGAAGCACCTGGTTGGATACAAAAGTCCCATAATCCTTTGTGCTCACATTGTGGTGAGCAGGACGATACCTTCAGCCGTGGCCGTGTACCGTCCCCAGAGGGCAACGCTTGGGGGAGTCATCTTGTCCTGTGCACAATTTTCCTTAATTTTTCATGGAACGCTGAGTCGTGAAGCAAACCGATCAGCATTTTTGCATCTTGGGATTTAGCTACTTGAGAGCCAATTTGGTGTCGTGGTTAAGTGTGCGGACTCTAATCTGGGAGAACTGGGTTTGATTCCCCCACTCCTCCGCTCGCACTTGCTGGTGTGACCCTGGGCAAGCCATAGTTCTGTCAGAGCTGTTCTCTCAAATGCAGTCCTCTCAGCCCCACCTACCTCACGGGGTGTCTGTTGTGGGGAGGGGGAGGGAAAGGAGATTGTAAGCCGCTCTGAGATGCCGAGTGAAGGGCGGGGTATAAATCCAATCTCCTCCTCGCCGATGTTCTCTGGGGGGAATCTCCCTGTGCTGCCTCTTTGGCTGTTCCCGCCACAAGGGTTCACGGTTCATGAAAGTTCTCGTGAGAGTGTCCAGCTCGCAGATTTTGGTCTGTAATGTGCTATTTAGTCAATATATTTGGTTTTTATTAGTTTTAATGGTGTGGGTTTGAAGGGGGGGGGGTTGTTCTTAATGGTTCTGAAATGTGATCTTTGTCATGCACGTTTTAGATTTTTAGCCGCCCGGGTGGCCCTTCTAAGGGCAGAAAAGGCAGGACACCAATTTTGTTAAGTATATATATATATAAGCAGTGCTATTTCCCCCGTCTTTTACATGCAGCTACAATTTGTCTTTTCTAAATCAATCTCAGCAGGTGGCCCTTTTGGTTTAAAGAATCCTTCAAGCCTTCGACCTTTGAATCTCCTACAGGTAAATTAATTTGTTCTTGGGCCCATTTTTTCCATGTGCATCTCCCTAGATGCCTGGGTGTGAATCCAAAGAACACCAGGCATCATGACCTTGTCACATAACTGAACGGAAGCTTGGGGCCACACCATGAATGGCAGTAGATCATTGAGCTGCATTTTAATTGCATACATGTTTTCATTTTTACATTCACCGCCTTGTGAGAGCCAGTTTGGTGTAGTGGTTAAGCGCACGGACTCTAATGTGGGAGAACCGGGTTTGATTCCCCACTCCCCCACTTGCACCTGCTGGATGACCTTGGGCAAGCCGTAGTTCTGATAAGAGCTGTTCTCTGAAGGGCAGTTCTGGAAAGAGCTCTCTCCGCCCCGCCTATCTCACACAGGGTGTCTGTTGTGGGGAGGGGAAGGGAAAGGAGTTTGTAAGCCGCTCTGAGACTCCCCTGGGTAGTGAAGGGCAGGGTATAAATCTAATCTCCTCCTCCTCCTCCTCCTCCTCCTCCTCCTCCTCCTCTTCTTTCTTCTTTCTTCTTTCTTCTTTCTTCTTTCTTCTTTCTTCTTCTTCTTCTTTTCTCAGCCCCACCTACCTCACAGGGTGTCTGTTGTGGGGAGGGGAAGGGAAAGGAGTCCGTAAGCCGCTCTGAGACTCCTTTGGGTAGTGAAGGGCGGGGTAGAAATCCAATCTCTTATTCTGGGGTATAAATGCAATCTCTTCTCTTCTTCTTCTTCTTCTTGTAGACCCTGATTCGGTGGAAAGGCAGCACAAAACATAAGAATAGAGCCAGGTTGGTGTAGTCGTTGGAAGCGCAGACTCTAATCTGGGAGAACTGGGTTTGGTTCCCCAGTCCTCCACATGCAGCTGCTGATGTGACCTTGGGTCAGTCACGAGTTCTCTCAGAGCTGTTCTCGAAAGAGCAGTCCTCGAAAGAGCTCTCTCAGCCCCACCTACCACACAGGGTGTCTTGTGTGTGGGGAGGGGAAGGGAAAGGAGTTTGTAAGCCGCTCTGAGACTACTGTGGGCAGTAGTGAAGGGCAGGGTCTAAATCCAATCTCCTCCTCCTCTTCTTCTATTTTATTTAAAACATTTTTATGCCGCCTTTCCACCCAATCAAGGTCCACAAGGCAGAGACCATAAAAAAACATTACAACACAGCTAAAATTATAGAATAATTCAGTTCAAAACACACAAAGAACACTAGTGGGAGGGCCAGAAACTGCTCTTAAGGGGTACGCCAGGTGAACCAGAAGAGTCCTCGCCTGCTGGCGGAAGACAACAAGGGAGGGAGAGAGAGACGAATCTTCCTCGGGAGTGGGTTCCAGACTTTCGGTGCCACCACAGAGAAGGCCGTTTCTCGGGTCCCCACAGGTGTTCCCTCTAAGCTGAGTCATAGTTTTTTAACCTCTGGCTCACACATTTTTTACCTCAGCTCAGGAAGGGTGGCTCCAGAGCAAGCTAATTTATGCAGTAGTCAAATGGTTCACTGTCATGATCTGGGCTGTGCCACCAGAGGCCTACTAGGCCCAGGGAGCCTGGCTAGCAGTAGGTGAGGCTCGGCCTATAACTCCCAGAAGCTCCTGAGAGGTTTTGGAGCCAAAATTGACCAACAGGGAAGAAGAGGGCTGGGGAACAAAAGGGCTGGTGCCAGAGCAGAAGCTGTTCTTTCTTCCAGAGGGCAGAGCCAGAAGGAAGGCTGCTGCAGGAAGAAACCCTCATCCTGAGGGAAGGGTGAGTAGTCTAGTGTCGCTTGGAATAATGAGCTAGGGACATTATATATTTAGACGCGTTAGGGCATTTGATTTCTTTTCTTTTCACCCACTTACTGTTATTATTCTGCACCTTGTTGTTTGAACTTCTATAAAATAAACCTTTCCTTGTTTCACTCTGCCTGGTCCTCACGCCTATTATTCGGCCGAAAGGGAGGTCTGAAGGTCTTGGGAGGGTGCTCTGGGCCTTCTCAAGGGAGCCTGGAACCAGAGTGGTGGCAGCGTCAGGTGACACCCCACCTGAGTCGTGACACTCACAACTTTAATGCCAGTAGCTCACAAAGTAGGATTTTTGCTCACAAGACTCCACAGCTTAAGAGGGAGCATTGGTCCCCTGTCTGTACATCAGTAGAAATTGACATCGCCTCTGAAAGTGGGCTTGCCTTTTCTAGAAGAGCCGCCCAGTTCCGGACCCTCCCAAAGAGACTGTACCAAGCACATCAGATCCAATGTCTTGTTTTTGCATATGCTCATCGGAAGCCCCACAGGACTGTCTGACTCTTGGCTTCCATCTTGCACAGCTTCCGGGCAGCTCCTTAATTTTCAACCCACTTCAGCAGTAGCAGCTCTCCCCATTTCCTTCCCATCTGCCACCGCCACAATCTATGACTGCCAGTCCTCAGCAGCAGGCAGAGCAGGTAGGCGTAGCAGGAGCCAGGCCCTCTCTGCTGGCCGCTACCCCTTTCAGAACGATGGACGTAATGTCCTGCAAATGTAGTGGCCGTGGACATCGCACGGTCCACCTTGCAGTGGCATGGAAAGATGGATTGTTACGTGTTGCTCATGGTGGCCACGCGTGGGCAGGACTTCAGAGTAGGCGCGGGTAGAGCCAGAACCCTCAGCCAGGGAGCTGCCTGCTGGCTTTGTGGGTTTCTCAGAGTCCTCGATCTACTCCAGGCTTCCTTGACCACAGCACCGCATTGTAACCAATGCTCCCTCTAAGCTGTGGAGTCTTGTGAGCAAAAATTCTCCTTTGTGGGCTTACTGGCATTAAAGTTATGAGTGAGCGATTTGGCTGCTGCATCAGTTAGTTTGCTCTGGAGCCATCCTTCCTGTGAGGAAAGACAAAAGTCTGGGAGCCGGAGGCTAAAAAACTGTGAGCTAGCTCACACTAACTCAGCTTAGAGGGAACACTGATCGTGACTCCTACCGGTGACGGCAGTCGCAGACTAACTTGAACGTTAGGATTCTGGCCATTTGTGATTAATGTGATGATCTTCTTTGTGGTCTCTGTGCAGTCACACCATGGGAGTTCCATGAATTAGATGGAATAGCCCTTGGCTAAGATGGAAAGGACCCATTAGTCCAACGTAATGGTGGCCCAGGCCTGCAGCAACTTGTCAGACCTAAACAACCTAAACCCGGCAAGCAGGGCCTTTGACTTCCACCTGTCTCCCTCCTTCAACCCTACCCGCCTCCATCCTTATTTGCAGGCCTGGGCCACCATTATGTCGGACCAATGGGTCCTTTCCATCTTAGCCAAGGGCTATTCCATCGAATTCATGGAACTCCCATGGTGTGTGACTGCACAGATGACCACTCGAAGATAATCACTTACAGGTAAGCAACCTGTTTATTCTTGTTCTTGCGCCCTGAGCAGGGTGGGAGGGAGGTCTGGCCTCAAAGGGTCCCAAATCCAGGCTTGTTGAAACCCCCCTCTCCGTGGAAAGAAAAGTATTTTGCATCTCAACGGCCAGGATGTTCCCTGCAGTGTTCCCTCTAAGTGAGCTAGTGTGAGCCAGCTCACAGTTTTTTAGCCTCCGGCTCACACATTTTTGTCTCAGCTCAGGCAGGAGGGCTCCAGAGCAAACTGATTTATGCAGCAGCCAAATCGCTCACTCACAACTTTAAATGCCAGTAGCTCACAGAGTAGAATTTTTGCTCACAAGACTCCACAGCTTAGAAGGAGCATTGGTTCCCTGAAATTAGTAAGATAGAATTCCAAGTGCATTCTGTAGGGAGCAGAGTTGAAATATCACAGACAGGCCATCCTGTTTTATCACTCATCTGTTCCCCATGCATGAGTGGGCCAGAGATTTGGCGGCTGAGAGACAGCAGTTTCCCTGCTCCTGTCCTCTCCAAACGAGTTCACGAGAGCCAGGAACTAGTGGTTTCTGGACTGATACAGAAAGGCCACGCTTGGGGTCATGTAACAACATTTCCTCTCCTGGCCTGGCAAGGCTGCATTCTTACCTGTGACAGGGCCTTTTCAGTCATGGCACCAACATTTTGGAAGTCCCTCCCTGGAGAGGTTCATCTAGCTCCCTCTGTGTCTTCGGCCAGTGGATGAAGACTATATTTTGTTCCGTTTGCCTACTCCAAGTCATTTATTTATTTATTTGTTAGATTTATACCCCGCCGTCCCCGGAGGCTCAGGGCAGCTAAGAAGATGGCAAGAATGCCACCATTAAAACAGATAAAAACAGGATAAAACAATATAATACAATCCAATAAAATATTGGTGCTCTAGATATCACGTCAATCATTTATCCCAAGATGGAGTTAATCCCAAACCAATGTATGTTCCAGTAGCACTGTCATCCCTTCTCAATCCAGGGTCGTCTCGCACACCCCGATGGTACCCACATGGATGGTGATGATGCATAGATAGCAATGGTGGAATAGTGGTGGCTCCTACTCAAAAGTCTGGTGGAAGAGCTCCATCTTGCAGGTCCTGCGGAACTGCGAAAGGTCCCACAGGGAGCTCATTCCACCAGGTAGGAGCTGCCACCGAGAAAGCCCTGGCCCTGGTTTTGATGTCCCTGGGGCCTGGAATAACCAGGAGATGTTGACTCCCTGACTGTAGTGCCCTTGGGGGAAAGGTGGTCCCTCAGGTAAGCTGGACCGTGGCCATATAGGGCTTTAAAGGTAAGAACCAGCACTTTGAAGCGAATCCAGTACGTTATTGGCAGCCAGTCATGGTTATTGGCCCCTCCTCACTGACTCTGGTGGTGTCTATGTATTTTTATTGATTTTAAAAATCTTAAATGTTGTTTTCAGTTGTTCATCTGTTTTCATATCTGCCACCTGAGGGGTGCCAGTTGGGTGGAAGGGTGGGATACAAATGTTTTAAGTAAAATAAACCAAAGCTCCCGACGTCTGACTTGATCGTACGATGCTTCCGAGTCTAATGCCGATTCTTTTTCCTGGCCAGGTTTCAGAGCAAGGCTGCACCAATCCAGACCAGGCCTTATCCGCTCAGCAAGCGGCCGTGATTAACCTGCCTGGAGTAGGGAACTTCGTGCCACCCCAGTCAGCTGGTAGGTATGTTTGGGACGTCTCCCGCTGGCAACGCTGCACGGGAAATCTCTGTTTCTTCCTCCCAGACAGGGTGCAATGTTCCCTCTAACCTGTGGAGTCTTCTGAGCAAAAATTCTACTTTGTGAGCTACTGGCATTAAAGTTGTGAGCGAGCGATTTGGCTGCTGCATAAATTAGTTTGCTCTGGAGCCCTCCTTCCCGAGCTAAGACAAAAATGTGTGAGCTGGAGGCTAAAAAACTGTGAGCTGGCTCGCACTAACTCAGCTTAGAGGGAACATTGGCACAGGGGTCCTTTCTGCACTTGGATCTCGTCCCTGGTTTTATCAGAGTTCAACTCGCGACACAACACCTTGCATTCATCCCTGGTTATAACAGCATCCGTTTATCCCGGGACAAGTGTGGGGTGAAACCGGGGTGACCTCAGTGTAATGTGGAAACGAAAGAATACCCCGAGATAATTAATAGGGGTGAACCCAAGTGTGGTGTAGAAGGTAAGTTCAGGGACAGGATTGAACCAGGATTTAGGGTCTAGTGCGGGAAGGACCAGGGAAGCCCCAGGAGAGCAGCACGGAGTTTGGCCGAGGTCCCGCCCACAGACGGTCTGCATAGAAGCCACTGCATGGTTTCTGCAGGTAACAACCGTGGCAGAAGCTGTGAACAGCAGACACTAGGGATGACAATATGTCTATATGTACTAAATTAAATGTACCTATATTAGAGACCTGCAAGAATACCCATCACAATAATGCTCCGCGCAAAATTTACAAATTAAACATTCAAGTTCAAATTTGCAATGAAATTCAGTGAAGATTCCGGGATCTGTCCTTCGTTTCGACCATTGTCTTCAAAAGACGCATATCTGCTATTGATGTTTTCTTTCATTTAGATCTGCAGACAATTTTATATCTTCGACCAATTTTCAGAGTTCCGTAGAATTCCAAAATGTTTTGGAGAATTAGTTTCCTAATGGGCAATCCGTCAGTTTTCAGAAAAGCCACTCTATGTTACTGAGCTGGTATTGCTTCCTGAGCATTATTGTAATGTATATTCTTGCACGTATCTAATATACGTACATTACATACGTAGAGCCAGTTTGGTGTAGTGGTTAAGTGCGCGGACTCGAATCTGGGAGAACCGGGTTTGAATCCTCTCTTCTCTTGCACCTGGCTGGATGACCTTGGGCAAGCCATAGTTCTGATAAGAGCTGTTCTTGAAAAAAAGGTTTCTGTCAAGAGCTCTCTCAGCCCCACCTACCTCACAGGGTGTCTTGTGTGTGGGGAGGGGAAGGGAAAGGAGTTTGTAAGCCGCTCTGAGACTCCCAAGTGAAGGGCTGGATATAAATCCAATCTCTTCTCTTCTTCTTAATTTAGTGTATATAGACATATTGTCATCTCTAGTGTCTGCTGTTCACAGCTTTTGTTGTGACATCAAAGATGTTTCATGAACTGGAGGGGTCTGTCTGAATTGCACAGCCCAGCTGCAGTGGATGGATCTGTGACATGTGACCTCGTCTACTCACAGCCTGGCATGAGCCTTCTAGCCCAATCTCATCGGATCATGGAAGCTAAGCAGGGTTGGCCCTAGGTTGATATTTGGATGGGAGAGGAAGCCCAGGGTCATGACACGAAGGCAGGCAACTGACAAAACCACCTCTGAATGCCTCTCATCTTGGGGGGAAACCCACGATCCTGGGTTCACCCTGAGTCAGTTCTGACTTGAGAGCACCTAATTAGTCCAGGCTAGTCTGATCTTGGAAGCGAAGCAAGTTAGCAGCACTTGGGTGGGAGACCAGCCAGGAAGTCGAGGGTTGCCGTGCAGAGGCAGGCAACGGCAAACCATCTCTGAATATGTGCTGCCTTATTGCCCTGGGTCGCCAAGTCTAGCCGGATCTCCTCAGCTCTCGGAAGCAAAGCAGAGTCAGCTCTGATTAGCATTTGGGTGGGAGACCTGCAAGGAAGTCCAGGGTTGCCACGCAGAGGCAGGCAACGGCAAACCCACCTCTGGAACTCTTTTTCCCTTGAAGACCTCTTGAAGGAGGGTTGCCATTGGTTAACTGCAACCTGACGACACTTCACTCGCACGCGTGCTTATGAAAATGATCGCTGGCTTGGTGCTGGAACGTCTGACCTGTTTTCCCCCCCAGCAGAAATGGTCCCCCCCTCCTCAGTGGTAGACTGCGGATGAATAGTGCTACCCCCCCCCCACCGCAGAAAGGTTCTCACTAGGGTTGCTGAACACCCCAGTTTGGCAGGGGTTCCCCGCTTTTGGGGGGTTTCTACCCACCGGCGGCCAGCCGGCTGCCAGGGGAAGCCCTGCCCCCGAGCACCAACACCCGCTGCCACCCCTCTCCCTTCTCTCTTCAGAGACAGGAAGGAGAGGGGTGGCTGTGAGCCAGCTCATTGGGCGCGTGAAAACGCCAGCTTCCTGCAGTTAAAAGGGCCCCTTTAACTGTAGGGAGCCAGTGTTTCCGCGTGCCCGATCTCCATGGAGGTCAGGCGCGTGGGGAAATGCCAGCTCCCTGCAGTTAAACAGGCCCCTTTAACTGCAGGGAGCTGGCGCCGTCAGGTGGGTGGGTGGGGACGTCCCCAATGTGATGTCATCACGTCAGGGATGCCCTGCCCCCTCCAGGAACGCCCCCCCAACGTCCCCCACTGGGGGGGGGGAGATAGAGGACTTGGCAACCCTAGTTCTCACAGCCGACCTCTCCTGGTTTTATTCAGTTGTTTCTTCCCTTCTTTCAGGGGTGAACGTGCAGCTCTAAAAAAAATAACGCCACTTTCCTTCCCTCTCCCTCCAGCAGCAGTCACGATTCTGGGGGCGCCAAACGGATACGGCAGCAGCGGCTCAACCGGCCCAGCCCCGGCCTTCCGGCAGCCGGTCAAAAAATAGGAAGCGCATCGGTGCTCCCAAAATCCTAGAACCCGCCTTTGACAGATACGTATATTTATTTTGAAAGGGGATTAGAAACGTTGCTTGAATTTTAAGAAAAACAAACATTAAAATCAGTGGTAAGTTTACTGGCAAAGTTGGATGTGAGGCGGCGTGGTGAGGGGCTTGTGACCCGAACATCTGTGGGACTACTTCCCCCCCCTCATGATTTAAAGCCGGTCATTGTAAACCATTAAAAGAAATTGCTCAGAGACAGGATTGGATTATATTCCACAGTGGAAAAATATTTTGGTAGGACTTTTATAAACAGAGCATTTGAGATAAACCTATCGGTGTGTACTGTAGCAAATATACATTTTACAAATCCGCTTTCCCAGGCCCCCCCCCCCCCCCCCCATTGGCTGCCTATGTTCCCTCCACACTTTTGATCAATGTATCCAGGAGCTTCTTCACTTCCTTGTGTCTCGTCTTGGCGCGGCCGATGCAGTCTTGAAGTTTGGCCCCCATCAGCGCACTCCCCCCTAAGAAGCAAACAAACGCATCAGCAAGGACCGGCCTTTCCTTTCCAGCACCGATGTTTCTATCACACCTGGACCGATTTTAATTAACACCCTCGCTTTCAGAATACGTTCATGCTCATGATATAACCCCACTGTTTAATGCGGCTGCATTAATACAACACTAAATCTTTTTAATATGTTATTGAAAGCTTTCACAGCCGGAGTTCATTAGCTGTTGTAGATTTTCCGGATTGTCTAGCCAGATTGTCTTGCCATTGTAGGACCTGACGTTTCGCCAGTAGCTGTGACTGGCATCCTCAGAGGCAGAACACAGAAAGATGGAGTACTTTCTTGACACAGAGAGCACTCCGTATTTCTGTGTTATACCTCTGAGGATGATGTCAAATTGATTGGCACAGTCATAAGACAATACGAAGACCAAAAAGAACTGTGAAAATGTGACACAATAAATTTCTTTAGAATCAAATTATACAAAAAGTATATTCTATTATACAGAATAATAGAAAAATGATGGTGATCTCCGGAATGTCTTGCCGTTTCGAAGGTTGATCTTCTTCCGAACAAAGATGTGAGACAAACACTGTCTCTCAATAATTCATTTCCTCTGGTTATGTCTCGAAGATATCAATGAAGATTTTCTCAATATTCATAATCGCTATAGTACCTAATGGAACCTTCCATGGGCTATTGGTATTGTAATGCATTACAATTGTAATTGGTATTGCATTAATGCAATACGACCAGTGTCCCCTCTAATCTGAGTTAGTGTAAGCTAGCTCACAGTTTTTTAGCCCCTGGCTCACACATTCTTGTCTTAGCCCAGGAAGGAGAGCTCTGGAGCAAACTAATTTACACAGTAGCCAAATCGCTGGCTCACAACTTTCATGCCAGTAGCTCACAAAGTGGAATTTTTGCTCACAAGACTCCACAGCTTACAGGGAGCACTGACCTATTCATTTTTTAACTTGTGGTTATATTTGAATGGTGGTCAGGGAAATTGGCAAATGTTGGTCAGGGAAAGTCAGGGAAATGAAAAATAAAATTTTAGTGGCAACCCTATATCTTTCATAGATTTTGAATCCGTATCGCCCAACTAAAAGAGAAATTAAACCAGATTTATTAGGTGGGCATTCAGAATAAAAAGTAGGAACAAGCACACACACACATACCCCAGTCAAAAATAACCGACAAAATATGAGCTGACCTCTCTTGAGAAGAGGTTTTCAAAGGTGAACAAATGACAGAGGGAGCTAACTGAAGCCAGAATAGGAGGGTGGCCTTGGCACCACAGTGAACCACCTCTGCTTGGGAAAGAGACAATACAGCCAGGAGCGATCCCTGCCTGGAGGCAGCCATGGATGCAAATATGCAGAACTGCAGCCGACGTTCAAACATATTTTCAGTGAAACACCTGGGGGAGGGGGCCATGGTTCAGTGGAAGAGCATCCACTTGGCATGCAGAAGGTCCCAAATTCAATCTCTGGCAGAGAGCCAGTTTGGTGTGGTGGTTAAGTGCGCGGACTCTAATCTGGGAGAACTGGGTTTGATTCCCCACTCCTCCACATGCAGCTGCTGGAGTGACCTTGGGTCAGTCACAAGTTCTCTCAACAGCAGTTCTCTGAGCTCTCTCAGCCCCACCTACCTCACAGGGTGTCTGTTGTGCGGAGGAGAGGGGAAAGGAAAGGACATTGTAAGGCGCTCTGAGGCTCCGAGTGAAGGGAGGGGTATAAATCCAATCTCTTCTCTTTATCTCCAGTTACCAGATCTGGCAGTAAGCTCTACCTGAGTGCCGCGGCCATCTGAGCAGAGAATATGGACTTTAATGGACCAAGGGTCTGATTCAGTACAAGGCAGCTGCCATGGGATCATTTGCTCTAAAGAAAGCTAGCTTCCCCCCCCACACACCCCCACACACAACAGTTCTGGCGCCGTACCTGGTTTATGAACAGAACACAGTTTGCCTTCCTCATCAGTGACGATTGTCACTGTGCCAGTCGCCAAGTCCTCCTCTTCTGCGGTCGGGTCGACAATCACGAGCGAGCTTTTGGGTGCACACAGACACAAAAACCCAAAGTTGAAATCTCTTCAGTGTGACGATACTAGCATTCTGTAAGGTTCACACAGGTCTCCCACTCCCAGCTGTGTTTTGATTGGTGAGATGTATAAATACTCTTTTGCTACACTATATACAACACTTCAGAGAATGGTGCCTTTTTGCTTCTTGTTGGCACCGAGGAGCAGTGGCAAACCCTGGTGAAAGCTCTCAGCACCTGGCTCATACTGCAAAACCCAGCAGCTTGGCTTTCGCAAAATGAGCAGCAAGTATCTCCATCTCATATGAATCATCTGTGTGCGCCGATGGCTTGCAGAGGGGGAGGCTCTGTGCCGTGGTACGTTAAATGAAGTTTGAAGTAAGAGCTATCAAAATCCTTCAAGTGGACGGCACCCCATGAAAATAGGGATGCCAGCCTCCAGGTGGGACCTGGGGGGGTCCCCTGGAATTACAGCTCCTCTCCAGACTACAGAGGTCAGTTCCCCTGGAGAAAACGGCTGCTTTGGAGGGGTGGACTCTGTGGCATTGCACCCCACACACTGAGGTCCCTCTCCTCCCCTGGCTCCGTCCCCAAATCTCCAGGAGGTTCCCTGCCTGGATCTGGCAGCCCTACCCCCCAATCCCCCCACGGGTGTCTGGCGGGACCAGTGGCAACTGGAGCACAGAGGGTCCCTTTCCTTACAAGTCACAGGGATGCCAGCCTCCAGGTGGGACCTGAGGATCCCCTGGAATTTTACAGCTCCTCTCCAGACTACAGAGGTCAGTTCCCCTGGAGAAAACGGCTGCTTTGGAGGGGTGGACTCTGTGGCATTGCACCCCACACACTGAGGTCCCCACCCTCCCCAAGCTCCATCCTTGAATCTCCAGGAGTTTCCCAGAGTGGTTCTGGCAAAAAAAAAAACCCCAATCCTCTGCCGGTAGCTGGGGGGGGGGACCTGGCATGAAAACAGTTACAAAGAGGATTAAGTGTGCGGACTCTAATCTGGGAGAGCCGGGTTTGATTCCCCACTCCTCCTCCACTTGCACCTGGCTGGATGGCCTTGGGCAAGCCGTGGTTCTGATAAGAGCTGTTCTTGAAAAAAGGGCTCTCTCAGCCCCACCCACCTCACAGGGTGCCTGTTGTGGGGAGGGGAGGGGAAAGGAGTTTGTGAGTCGCTCTGAGACTCCCCTGGGTAGTGAAGGGTGGGGTATAAATCCAGTCTCCTCTTCTTCTTCTTAAAACTCCTCCCTCCTCAATTTGGAGTAAAAACCAGGATTGTAGAGTGGTTCACCAAAGAACCAAAAGCACTGGGCCGTCTCCACACGATTGATTCTTCTGATTTAGCCCTGCAAGGTGCGAAATGCTAATCTGCATGCCCTCAGACGAACCAAAAAAACAGCTGGGACGGCAACCCTCCTTCAGAACGTTCTACATCTTCTTTCCATTTTGCATTCGTACAGTATTACTCTCTTCTGGGAAGTCAGAGGAAGAGGCTAACCTCGAGCACGGGTATTTACGCAGGTCAGGAACGATCCGAAAACGACTAATCGGCCCATCTGTTCACTGACGACGGTCGCATTTAAAATGAGTTTGTCACACCTCAGCTGTGAGGACCTGAACTACTTAAAAAATTCTCCCCTCCTTTTAGACTTCTGGGTTTGGGTCTGGAGCATTTGGGGAAGAACACAATCTACCCGTCTACTCCAAAAACGACGTCACAGGGTTACGGTGGAGAGGAGGCATGAGAGAGAAATGCCTTCGGTCCGGACAGTGGGATCTCCCGGCCTGAGAGGGCTTTCCAACGTGAGTGCCACAGCTGGGGGAGGTGGCCCCCCAGGGGTCAGGGACAAGGTCCCCTCTCAGCTGAGTCAGTGTGAGCCAGCTCACAGTTTTTTAGCCTCCGGCTCACACATTTTTGTCTTCGCTCAGGAAGGGGATGGGCTCCAGAGCAAATGAATTTATGCAGGAGCGCAATCGCTCGCTCACAACTTTAATGCCAGTAGCTCACAGAGTAGGATTTTTGCTCAGCTTAGAGGGAGCGTTGGTCAGGGAGCTGGGTCACATGATGCACAACTCTTCCACATTTCAAGCAGGAGTTCTGTTTAACGAGGGTTACGTCCTCTTTTGGGGTTGGAAGGTTAGGACTATTCCTAGTTCATAACAATGATCACAGCTTCCCTGGGGGGGGGGGGGTTTTTTTTTGGGGGGGGGGGGGGGGCTCCTTTAAAATGAGATTTGCCATTGTGATCCCTTGATCAAAGTAGTCAGTTGGGAAACGCGTCCTCTTTTTTGCCTTTCAAAACATGGGTAGTCCAGGTTTAACAGGATGCCTCTCTAAAATGAGCACGTGGTTTTAGAAGAGACTTCCTTGCGTACAGACGGCTTCACTGCCATTGACTGAAGGTAAGGGTTTTTTTGTGCCACGCTAGTAGCAGCTACCGCCAAAGCAACTTCGAAGAAAAAATCTGCACAGCCGATTAGATCTCCAGTGGCCAATCAGGGGCCTTGCTGGGCAAAAGCCCCGCCTGACTCCGCCCACTTTTAAAAAAACACTTGGGATACTGGGAAAGGGGTCGGCGGGCGGTGTGCACAGACACCCCACTGGGGACCCCTGATTACAAGGCATGTTCATAGCGCCCGTGCATGCTCTTGCGCACGTCCAATTCACTAAGTAAAAGTGGCATGGCTGGAATGAAGCCACTGTTTGTCTGAGACGGGTGCAGAGCAGTGTTCCCTCTAAGCTAGCTCACAGTTTTTTAGCCTCCAGCTCACACATTTTTGTAAACTCAGGAAGGAGGGCTCCAGAGCAAACTAATTGATGCAGTAGCCAAATTGCTTGCTCGCTCACAACTTTGATGCCAGCAGCTCACAAGGTAGGATTTTTGCTCGCAAGACTCCACCGCTTAGAGGGAGCATTGCTCCAGAGCAAACTAATTTATGCAGCAGCCAAATCACTCACTCGCAACCATGCAGAATTTTTGCTCATAAGACTCCACTGCTTAGAGGGAGCATTGGTTAGGAGCAGTGTTCCCTCTAAGTTTTCATGTGAGCTAGCTTACAGTTTTTTAGCCTCCAGCTTACACATTTTTCTGTCCTAGCTCAAGAAGGACGGCTCCAGAACAAATTTATGCAGCAGCCAAATTGCTGGCTCACAGCTTTAACGCCAGTAGCTCACAAAGTAGACTTTTTGCTCACAGGACTCCACAGCTTAGAGGGAGTGTTGGTGCAGACCAAGCAGTCATGGCCGTCTACCACGTATACGCTGCTTTTTCTCCCAGCCTTCCCGTCGACATTCCTTGACATTCTAAACGTCTGTGCAAAGCTGCCTACTTACTCAAACAGCACAAACGAGGCGGCCACCGGCTCCTTCCTGACCGTCAGAGCAGTCTTTTCTTTCAGGTTGACTTCCGCTAAACCGGTTTCTTCGTTTATACGGACAGCGGGCAACTGCACTGAAATGACAACGCAAGCAAATGCTGAGCAAAGCAGGAAGGTTGTCCGGGGGGAGGGGCGGCTGTCTCATGGAGGGTAACGAGAGGGGCCAGGGAGAAATGTCCCCCCCCCCGAAGAGATGCAGAGGGAGGGGTAGTCATGTCAAAGACCACCCTTCAGGTGACACAGCAGTGCTCCACTCTGTATCTGTCACCACTAGAGTAAAGTCAGGTATTTTTTGGCTAGCGGGAGCAGGGGAGTCAGACAGGAGGGCTTGCAGGAGGGGAAAGGTTAAACCCCACACATCAGAGCTCCTTGCAACTTGTGGAGTGAAGGAAACCCCTCCCCCAAAATCAGGTGATCCAATCACAACCCTGCTAAGTAACTTTGCTCCTGGAGAGCCCTGATTAGTGCAAATGTCTGGCTTGCTGTTTGCTTATATCCCGGTTTCCCGTTCAAAAAGAACACCCACGGCAGCTAAGGGATACAAAATGGCTATCACACAGTCTAGAACGAAGTCTGAGCCCAGTGGCACCTTGAAGACCGGCAAAGTTTAATTCTGGGTAAGCTTATAACCCAGAATTAAAACTTTGTTGGTCTTCAAGGTGCTACCGGAGTCCAACTTTGTTTGGGCATCTGAAAAAATGTGCATGCACAGAAAAGCCTTCTGCCCAGAATTAAAATTTGTTGGTCTTCAAGGTGCCACTGGATTCAGACTTTGTTCGGGTATCTGCAGGAGTGTGTGTGCACACGAAAGCTTATACCCAGAATTAAACCTGGTTGGTTTTAAAGGTGTCACTGGACTCGAACCTTGTTCTATCGCTTCAGACCAACAGGAGTACCCACCACACTCTTATCACACAGTCTGTAATCAATAAAAACAGCAGCAGGTCCCCTCTCCTTTTACAAGGGAGCTGTCCAGGGGCTGAGCTGGTGGAACAGGTCAGCC